AAGAAAAGAAAAGAAAAGAAAAGAAAAGAAAAGAAAAGAAAAGAAAAAAAAAGTTGAAGCATACTCTAAACGGTAGCGCTGGGGTGTGGCTTGGTGCGTGTGGCTTGGTGCTAGACACCTGCTCAAGAAGCACATGAGATCCTGGATTCAGTCCACACTAGCATAGCGCATCCTCGTGTCCCCTCAGTCCTGAGAGTGACCAAGCCATGGCTCATGGCTCAGCAGCGTGTTAGTACAGGGGGAGCGGGCAGCCTGAGGGAGACAGAGCAAGAGGAGGCAGCATTCAGCCAGGCAACTGCTTTGACGGGCGGAACTGGGTGCGTCCTGGCAGGCAAGGAGGAGGGAGAACACTTGGCATACCTACCTATGGGCCCCGGGCAGGGGAAGAGCCAACCACGAGCCACACGGGCTAAACCACCTAGCTGTACCAAGAGAGGAAGCAAGGCTGGCAGGCAGGAGGCAGGTGAAAGCAGCATGGGGTGGCAGGGTGGGGGTGTTAGTCATCAGCCATCGGTGGGAGGGTGTGCCATCTAGAGTTCCCGGAAATTGCAAGTCTGTGAGCTATAGGGAGTTGGGTGACTAGAGTTGGGGTGGGTTTTCATCACCTTTTAGGACTTGCTTCTCGGGCCTTCTGGGAAGGTGTCTGTGGTCAAGGCTTTTCTCCTTTTTGACTCTGCGGGGTTGGGTGAGTGCACAGAGTTGGGGGGGGGGGAGATGTACTGAGATCTCCGAGGTGGGTGTGTCAGGCCCCGCCCAGGAGCAGGTCCTACCAGCGCAGTTCAGCCCAGCCCAGAGTGTCAGCGGAAGAGGACTTGGGGCAGCGGCAGAGGAAGGGCAACAGAACACAGGTATGGGGGTGAGTGATGAGTGGGGCTGCCCCACTAGAAGTGGGGGACATTGGTGAGAATGGAGAATGTGGGAGCGGGGGGGGCGGGGCCGGGTAGGCTCTGGGAAACCCTTCTGGATAAAGTGAAAAGGCAGATGGGGGGTGAGGGGGACGCCCCACGTGGATAGCTCTTTCCCTGGGGAGCCTCAAGAGGCAACCAACATGCCTGACACACCTGAAGGGCTGAAGCCCCACTGTGGGCCACCGTAGGGACTTCCCCTAAATCTTTCAGGCCACTGTTTTCATGCTGACCCTGAGCTTTCTGAGGTTGGCTCCCCTCATACCCACTCATCCTGTAAGGCCAGGTCCTAACCTGGAAGACACGGAATAAGATCTGATTAAAGTTGACTAATGAGCTTACTGGGAAAAATGTCTGTCCCAGCTCACAGAAGTATTCTTTATTTGGTTATTTGATGATGGGGACGGGGTGCTGTAGAAGCTAAGAAAGCACTTGCCCTACCACTGAGTCCCCCCCCCCACACACACACACCCGTTTTTGAGATGTAGCCCAGGCTGGCCTCAAAATCTATTTGTAGCCGAGGAAGACCTTGAACTCCTGAACCCTCTCCCTCTCCCTCTGGAGTCCTGGGATTACAGGCATGCACCACCACACCAGGTCTGTGCAAGTGCTGGAGCTTGAGCTCAGAGCGTGTGGGCAAGCTCTGGCAGCCCAGTCCTCTGACACTTTGGGTGAACTTTGGGGAATGAGGTCTCATTATGCTAGGATGCTCTTCAACTCCTAACTTCAAGTGATTTTCCTTCCCTCCCCCCATCCTGTCAGCTTCCTTGATAACTGTGTGTGCCACGATGCTCAGGTCTGTTTCATCTATTTTTGGTTGTGCTAGAGAGTAAACCCAGGGCCTTGTGAATGCTAGTACATTTTCTATCACCAAGCTACCCCCAGCTCTTTTCGGTATATTTAAATGGGTCTCAAGGAAGCGCTGCCCCAACCCGAAATGCTTGTCTGTAATAGAAGGGGGGTGGGCTGTGTGGTCTCTCTGCCCCCATGGCTCTGACAGAATATGGCTTGTGGGAGGAGGGAAGGAGCTGTTGTGCCTGTGTGGGAACCTGTGGAAGGCTGTCCGCGACCTTTGGCAATACTGGCACAGGCCACACTGCCTGCCTACTGCCTATGGTTATGGAGGCTCAATGACAGAAAAGGACTCACTGCCTTCTACTTCTTGCTTCTGCTAAGCTGAAGTCGTAGCCCTGGGGGAAATGGAGTCAAGGAGTGTGACAGCAAACCCCACTTCCCAAACAGCCAGAGACAGACACCAGAGGCCAGCTCAGTCTGTGATGTCTGGTGCAATTAGCTCATCCTACCCTGCTCCTTCCAGCATCTGCCCCACTGACCCAGAGACCTTTCATGTCCATGGGGCATATTAATTAATTTTAAAAAGCCACGGAGGAGACAACAGAAAAGGGGAGAAATGTTGGGAATATCGGTATAGCGGAGAGGCAAAATGTTTGCCTGGTGTGAACAAGGCCCTGGGTTCATTCCCAGCACCAAAAATGAAAGGGTGTGGGCCTCTGGGGCCAGTGGTATGGTGGAAGTTCAGAGTAAGGTCACCCAGCCTAAAAGGCTCCAGGAGATTATTCAGAAGGGGCAGGCCCTGTCAAGCCTGAAGCAAGAGTAAGACACAAGCAGGGTACAGCTCACTGGCGGCTGAGCCTATGGCAGTGACTTCTTTTTTTTTTTTTTTTGGTTGGGACTTTGTTTCCTGTTTTTCCAGCTTTGGAAGGTAGGTTGGAGGGAGAGGTGGGTAAGCTGTCATCTACACATCGGGGAAACTTAATTACTGGGCTCTGGGTCACCTTTGACTTCTGTCTTTCCCAGAGAAGCATTGTGAAGCGTATTCCCAGCACTCCTGGAGCCTGAGGCAGGAGAATTGTCATGAATGCTACGTCAACAAGAGATGTGCTGTGGGGGTTGGAGAGATGGCTCAGTGATTAAGAGCACTGGCTGCTCTTCCAAATGGACCCAGGTTCAAATCCAAGCACCCACACTGGCAGTTAACAAATGTCTAAAACTCCATCCAGTTCCAGGGGATCTGACACCTTCGCACAGACATGCATGGAAGCAGAAACCACAAATGTAAATAAAATGAAATAATTAAAAGAAAAAAAGATTTAAAAAAGAAGGGATGTGTTGTGAAACTATCTCAAAGACAAAGAGGTAGGTGAGGAGAGTGAAAACCCTCTGAAGAGAGTTAGACCAATTCAGGGAGGGAAATCATTGTGCCTGGGGCGAGGAGGCTGAGGGTGATTTTGGAAGGGAGGCAGAAAAAGGCTGGTAGAGAGAGGCTGAAATCAGAATTTTGGCTGGAGAAGCAAGGCAGCCACGGGCAGGGAGAAGAGAGGACCCCAGTGACCCAGTGATGAGGCAAGATACTTGGGCCTGAAACCAGGGGATGGCTCTCTTAGTGCCCTGGGGTATAGAAGGCCTCTAGGCTGGACCTCACTCTGGGCTCCCCGGAGTACAGACCTTCCCCTCTTTTCCCTGTTCTGCAGTCTCCGGGGAAGCTGACTGGCAGGATTAACCTATGCACAGGAAAGGTCCGGAACAACACACCTTTCTGGTTAGTTTTGTTGTGAGAGATAGTTTCACCCTGTAATTCTGCTGCCCTGAACTCACTACATAGAAAAGTGTGCACCGCCACCCTGGGCGTTGTTTTGTCTTTTTTTTTCTTTTTTCCTCCATGGGATTTTCTTTTGTGGTCTGAGCCTGGCTGTGTAGACCAGGGCTAAAATGTGAGGTGGTCTTCTTGCTTTCTGCCTTTCAAGTACCACCGGCATTACAGGCGAATACCAGCTTACCTGAGGCTGGTTCAGAACTAGCAAGTCCAAGTCACAGTTTTCAGAATACCCAGGGGCCCTGTGGGGAGCCCAGCGGATGGGTGTGATGTCATTCTCCAGCCAGAGTCTGTCAGGAGAGAGGCGTACCTGCCCAGCGACACTTGAACAGAAACAGAAGAAATGTTTAAGTAGCAACTTAGACACTTAGAGGAGTGGCGTTTCCTGTGTTTTGGCTGAGAAATGACCTGAGGCTAGCCTAGAGGTAACTGTAGGTGAAAAGACCTGAATTTTGGCCACACAGAGAAGGCAGAGAGATGTGAATTGGTAAGGGGAGGCACTGAGCAGGGCATTTGTTGCATGTTTAGGAGGGGTAAGGTGGCTGGGACGGAGAGACAGTGGTGGGCAGACACTTCCTGTCTTCATTACTGTAAGCCTTTTGTCTGCAGCAATCATCTGCATTGTTGGCTACGTGCTGGGGACAGTGGCTCCCTTGGGCAGAGGGAGCATGGGGTGCAGTGTGCAGGACAGATCATGAGCTAGCCTCCTGCCCACTTTTAGATCTTACTTCCTGCCTGTGGCAGAAAATAGTCCTGCCCCTCTTCCTTATCTCAGCTAAGAGCAGCACCCAGCCCAGCTCAGAGGGCGACAGGACAGGTTCCAGAGGTTCCGAGGAGGTAAGGAACACAGGCTCCAGATGTACACACAGGAGCCGAAAGACAGACACCTTGAGCAATCGGTCAACTGTGATTTGAGCAGCGGCAATTCGAGGGCAGAAAGGGTGGAAAGCAGTGTGCTTCTGGTTCCTCTACGTTGACTGTGGTTTCTTGGCTCTCCATGCCTGTGGGCTGAGATTTTTTGCTTGTGTCTGTATGATATGATATGTGCTTATGAAGGAACCTGATTCTATGTGCATCTACATAACATTTTCTCTAAGGCAGGGGATGGGGCTCCTTATTCTTCTCTGGCCCTCATGGCTCTGCATGGGTACACAGACAGTGATTTGTATGCTAATGTATGCATGCCTCCGTGTGTCTGCATGAAAATGTGTGTCCTGGTGTGCTTATGTGACAGTGTCCACGTTACTAGGCCTCTAAAGGCCTTCATGGCCCTCCTAGCTTGTGAAATGAAACTCCACTGTTCCTTCTTTTTGGAGACAGCAGCTGCTTGATTTTTTTTTTTCCATCTCCCCCAAAACCTGGCCTCGTTTTCAAGCAGGATTGGGGAGAGGGTCTGAGCTACCTCTCCCCCATACCTACATCCCGCTTTTCACTTACAGTTTGCCTCCTCTTTGGCAGGTTTCCCCATCTTTGCCATCTGGCCTGGCACCGGGCCCATACAGCTCCAGAGCCAGGAGCCCAGGGAGAGCTCAGGGAAGGAGGGGAACGTGGTAAGGGGCCTGGCGGGAGCCTGGCAGCTTGGCCTTTCTGTCTGTTGGAAAGAGACAGCTTTTTCACAGACTCTATTGTCAAGAAGCCCAAGAACTTCCCTTTGGAATGGGTAATGAGAGCATTGCCATTTCCTTTTCTAGGGAATCCCTTGGTTCATCTTTAAGTAGCGGCTCAAAGAATCCATGTTTGTCTGCTTGAACCTTCTAACTTATCTTAACGGAAAGACTTGGAATTCTTGAAAAGAATGCATTCCTGCCTTCACTTGGTGTATAGAATTAGGAACTCCTTCCTAATTGTAAGGAGTTGTTGATTTTACAAGTAATGGTTAAAAGTGATAAGATCTTGCTGTTTTACCCATAAACTGTTTTCAAAGATACATTTTGAAAAAATATATTCATTTTTATAATTTATTTCTTTCCTTTTATGTGCAGTGGCGTTTTGTCTGCCTGCATGTCTGTGAGGGTGTCAGACACCTTGGAATTGGAGTCACAGACAGTTGTGAGCTGCCATGTGGGTGCTCTTCCCTTGGAATGCTGGGAAGCGGACTCTGGTCCTCTGTAAGAGTGGTGCTGCCTCTCACCTGCCATCTCTCCAGCCCCCTTACCAAAACCGAAATGCAAGTGTTTCCCATATGGCCTGTTCAGTCGGTAATGGAGCAGACGCAGAAGTGTGGTAAATGGATAGGTGGCTATAGTAGCACTAAGAAAGGGTTAATTCTTTGTTGGATGGAAACCATTTTCCTTCCAAGCGGCCAAAGAGATTCACTCAGGGAGGGGGGGGGGGTAAGTGCAGGGGCTGAAGCATGTGTCTAAGAATGTGGTCCTCACCCTAGGGCTTTACCTTGTAGCTGAGGGAAAGGATAAAGACGCAAAACAGCTGATGGGTTAAAAGCATTTAAAAGCAGCAAGCTAATTGGCTTTTCTTTTTGAGAGCAGGTGTCCCTTCTGCCTCAGGCTGGCCCTCACTCCTGGCCTCCTCCTATCTCAGCCTCCTGAGTAGCTCGGACTTCAGGAATGTAGTGCATTCCTGGTTTAAGTGCTTAAGTACGTAGAAGAAAAATTGTAAGGAAAGATGTGTGTGTGTGTGTGTGTGTGTGTGTGTGTATGTGTGAAAGAGAGATGGGTGTTTGCTACCAGCGTTCTGAGACAACTGAAAAGGAAGTGAGTTATTGAAATGAATGTCAATTGGACAAATGAGGAAATGAAATAAGTTTCCCATGGGCATAGGTTTCATATGAGCAATTATAAAAGACCAGGTGCTCTACACAGCACCCATCCACAAAGCCTCCTATTCATTCTTGTTGGGAGCTGCAATGTGCAGTGTGGACTTTGGAGCTGGGCAGTCCTAGGTTCGGATCCTGACTCCATTCCTTGGGAACCGGCTATTGCGCTTTTGTTATCTTTCCTATAACAGTGAAGACAGACACCTACCTCAAAGAACTGTGGGAAGCATTAGACACTACCTGCAAAGCATGGCTGGGGTCTGGTGACTGGCAGCTGTGACTTCCCTCCCCACCCGTCCAGATGTAGATGCTGAGGCGGCAAAGGTGAAGTGCCACCTTCTGAAGCCCCTCCTCGGGGCTCACAGTCTAGCGAGAGCGGCTGAGAGCTAGCTCTCACCACCCACGCAGGAACAGCTGAGGGATCTGTGTACCCCAAACTCTGGGTGGCACAGAGAAAGGGGTAGACCACCCCCGCCCTGCCAGGGCAGAGCTAGGAAAGAGGTCACGGCTTTTTGGAAGATGACTGGGTTTGTCAGGTGGAGAGTGGACGGAAGGACACCAGCTGCAAAGACAGAGGCTTAGGAGCACGAGGTCTGTGTAGAACTTGCTGGTGTCCGGCAGAGGAACATTCGGTGAGTGTGCTCACATCTCACTTGGTCTCTCTGCATCTGTGGGGAGTTGGTTTCCAGACCCCTTCAGATGCCAACATTCTTGCAGGCATAAGTCCTATACATATTTCCTACAGACATTAACACTTTAAGCCCAGGACAGGTGCTATGAGCCTGGAAGCCCAGCACTTGGGGGATGGTGGCTGGAGGAGCAGGAGTTCAAGGCTCCCCTTGGTTGCTGGGCAACCTGGAGTTTTAGGGCAATCTAATAGGTCACCCCCTTCTTCACGCAAATCATCTCTCTGTCTCTAGTTGCTTATAACCTATACAATTCAATGTAAACATATTTTGGTTGTTGTTTTTATTCCGTTCTTTGTGTCTCTGTGTGTGTGAGCACACACGCACACACATTTCACGTGGGTGGGCATGGCAGCATCCTGCCATGTTTGTGTTTTGGAAAAGGGTTTCCCTATGTCAGCTGCCTCAGCCTCTAGAATTGCAGGCCTGTGCCCCCCACCCTGCTTTTTTTTTTTTTTAAGTAAGATTTATTTTTATTTTATGTGTAGGGATGTTTTGCTTGCTTGTACGTCTATACACACCACATGTGTACATTGGATTTCTTGGAACTGGAGTTACAGAGAGTTTTGAGCTGCCATGTGGGTGCTAAGAATTAAACCCAGGTCCTCTTGAAGAGCATAGAGTACTTTAAAAAAAAAAAGGTTTTGTGTGTTTGTTTGTTTGTTTGTTTGTTTGTTTGTTTTAGACAAAGCTCTCTGTGTAACCCTACTGTCCTGGAACTTGCTGTATAGACTAGTCTGGCCTTGAACTCATTGGTCTTCCTCTTACAGCCCAGGCTAGACTTGAATTTGGGATCTTCCTGCCTCAGCCTTTTGAGTTCTGACAGACCTTGTAAATACTGTATTTTTGAGGAAATAATGATGAGGGAAATGTCTACATATGTATTGAAGACAGGTGCTTTTTTGTGTTTTGTTTTGTCTTTTGAGATGGGGTCCTGCTGTGTTTCCCAGGCTGATTTTAGCCCCCAGGTTCAAGTGATAATTCTGCCTCCAAGCAGATGGATGCAATCTGTCTGCCTGTCTGTCTGTCTGGTTGGTTTTGTTTTAGAGACAAAGTCTCCCTCTGTAACCCAGGCTGAATTCTGGGCAATATTCCTAAGTGCTGGCATTACAGGTATGAGGAATCACACTTGGCCTTTTGTTGAGACAGGGTCCCATTGTAGCCCAGGCTGCAACATTCTCTCTCTCTCTCTCTCTCTCTCTCTCTCTCTCTCTCTCTCCAGTAGCCCAAGCTAGCTTAAATTTCCTTCTGCTTTAGTCTCTAAGAACATTTTTCATTGTATTCATTTTTTTTTTCTCATGTGTTTTGCCTATGTAGGTAGGTATACCATGTGTAGTCCTCAGAAAAGGACATTGCATCCTGTGAAACTGGAGTTGTAATTCCATCACGTGCGTGCTGGAAACCCACATCCTCTGCAAGAGCAGCAAGTGCTCTTAACCAGTGAGCCACTTCTCTAGCCATGCTTTAGCCTCTGAGTGCTAGAACTACAGCTGTCTACTGCTAGGCCTGACTTAGGATCTTTTTATCTTTGAGAAAGGGTTTCTCTGTGTAGCCTTGGCTGTTCTGGACTCACTTTGTAGGCCAGGCTGGCCCTGAACTCACAGAGACTCTCCTGCCTCTATCTCCCGAGTGCTGGGATTACAGGCATGTGCCACTGCACCTAGCTTTTTTATTTCGATTTACTATTATTATTAGACACATCTAACTGTATAACCTTTGGCTGGTCTGGAACTTGCTATGTAGATGAAGCTGGCCACAAACTCACAGAGATCCTGCATATCTACCACATGCACCACCATGCCTGGCCAGGTGCAGATTTTCTAAAACATTTGTTTTATATGAGGTTAGCTGAATATACATTGTAAACATGGAACCCACACGTGGAGGGCTGTCTGTGGACTCGCTTTACAGACCAGGCTGGCCTAGAACTCACAGAGATACACCTGCCTCTGCCTCCTGAGTGCTGGGATTAGAGGTGTGTGCCACCGAGACCGGCTTATATTTCCATTGAAATTGGTATTTTATAAAGGAAATATGTAATCCCTTTTAATTGTTTCACTGTGCTTCCTATAAATCTTGAGAAGCTGTTTGCTGGAGGGAGAACAAAGCCAACAAAAAAGCCCCCATAAATTTGATATAGTCAGGCTTACAACTTAGTTCCACATAATTTGTTTATTGAAATAAATTTATCTATTGAAATAATTTATTTATTGAGGTGCTGGAGATAAAACCCAGGGCCTCGACTATGTAGACAAATGGTTTATCATTGAGCCACTGTCACAATTGTCATGCAACAATTTCAATAGTGCCTTTTAATAAATAACTCTAACTTTGTGTATGTACACAGGCAAGCATGTGCCACTGGGCACACGTGTAGGTCAGACAATAACTCTCAAGGGTTGGCTCTGTCCTGCCAGTTTATGAGGCCCTGGAATCCAGCTCAGGTGGCTAGGCCTGGGTACAGGTACCTCTACCCACTGAGCCATCTAACCAACCCTTTTGGAAAGAAATGGTTTTGTATTTTGTGTATATACATGGGTGTTTTGTCTGCAGAAATGTCTGCACCAGAAGAGGGCATAGGATCCCACGGGACTGCAGTTTTAGATGGTTTGTGAGCTGCCTTCCATGGGTGTGCTGGGAAACCAGCCCAAGACCTCTGGAAGAGGTCAGTGCTCTTAACCACTGAGCTATCTCTCCATTTGGAGATAACGCCTCAGAACCGAAGACGACTCCTTTCCCTAAGAAGCTGTCAAGATACCTATGCTCACAGCAATATTATTCAGCAGTTGAACACAGAAACAACCCTTGTCCACCGGCAGATGACTAATAAGCAAAACGTTGTATACACATTCTGCCTCACAACCCAGGAAACATAGTTAAACTGTGTCTTTGGGGGGGGGGACCCGTAAAATAAGATTTAAAAGTAAAGATGGAGCTGAGGATGTAGTCCTAGTACTCAGGAGGTTGGGGCAGGAGGTTCAGGAGTTCAAGACCAGCCCCAGCTGCACAGCAAGTTCGATGCCTGTCCTTGGTTGAGGACAGAGGAATAGCCGGTTGATTCTTGATTCTCTTGTGCACCAAGGCTGAGGAAGGATTGCTCACACAGGCAGCACTTGAGGAAGCTCAGCCCTTGGGGAAGCAGTTCTCAACCTGTGGGTCTCGACCCCTGTGCCAGACTCACATACCAGACAGCCTTCCTATCAGATATTTACATTGTGATCTATAACTGTAGCAAAAGTACAGTTATGAAGTAGCAATGAAATAATTTTATGGTGGGGAGGTCACCACAACATGAGGAGCCGTGTTAAAGGGTCTCAACCTTAGGAAACTTGAGAATCACTGTGTTGGAGCCTTCTGGGCACCTTCCTAACGGGAATGCTAAAGTGCTCTTAATATGCCTCTGGCCAAGGCTGATGGCAACTGCCTTGGAGTACGCCAATGCACTCTTATTTCCATTTTATAGATGAAGAAATGGAGGGTTAGTCAGTCAAGGTGAATCCGGCCGGGTCTCTGACCAAACCCAGGCCACAAGGGAAAAGGTGAATTATGATGACCAGGACTGGGAGTTTTGTACTGCACTTGAGACTCTGAACTTTATTCCTTAGATAATAGGCTGCCAGCCCAGCCCCAGGCCCAGAGGAAGTCCTCCGAGGCCTTCTCCCCACCTGTTATATGTATTTGTAGTCCTCCTCTAATGGAATGTGAAGTAGGTGGATGAGACAAGGCCTTTGTTTTGCGCATTACTGTGGACAGGCTCAAACCTTCTGAGGATTCCGTAAGCTTTTAAGAGAAGGAAGGAAGAAGACAGGGTCTAAGGGCAGCAATTGAAGCATTTTAATCTTACTTAATGTCTTGAAGCAGAGGCCACCCAAATTCCCTCATATTCACCAGATAAGGGAAATGAAATTCAGAGAGGACTTCTCTGAGGCCACAAAGCTAAGCAGTGTGGCAAAGCTGGCACTCACGCCCAGCCCGTCTGGAACCCATGACAACAGGACCTGGGTATGTCACTGTGTGAATGAAAGGAGCTATAAAAAGCCATTCTGCTCTGTAAGGGTGGGAAAAGATGGACAGAAGAGCCTTGAGGCTGGGAAGGAACTCAGGAGGCCCGGGCACGTGAGCTAAGCGTTTTTGGACCAGGGTTCTGGTCTCTGGTAACTTTATTTTTGATTCTCCTTCCTAGCCCAGGTCACCGTTGCTGAAGAAGTTGTGGCACCAGGCTTCCAGCCTTGGCCAGCCATCGGCTCCTGAGGTCAAAGACCACACTCTCATGTCTCGCCTCTGCCAGCTGGGGGACAGCCTTTGTACAGTCACCAGGCTACCACCCTGGAGGTGAAAGCCATGCCCGGACCTTGGTGTTCGCCATGATGCCTCAGCCTAGTTTCCCTTCCCACTTGGACGCGATGTTTGCCAATTCTTCAGCCAACGCCTCATCTACCAACAGTTCTGTGCCCCAGTGCCGTGACTACCGGGGTACACATCGCTTGCACATGGTGGTCTACAGCCTGGTGTTGGCGACCGGTCTCCCTCTCAACGCTCTGGCTCTCTGGGTCTTCCTGCGTGTGCTGCGCGTACACTCGGTGGTGAGCGTGTACATGTGTAACCTGGCGGCCAGCGACTTGCTCTTCACCCTGTCGCTGCCCCTGCGCCTCTCCTACTACGCGCGGCACCACTGGCCCTTCCCGGACTTCCTGTGCCAGACGTCGGGCGCCATCTTCCAGATGAACATGTACGGCAGCTGCATCTTTCTGATGCTCATCAACGTGGACCGCTACGCGGCCATCGTGCACCCGCTGCGGCTGCGCCACCTGCGGCGGCCCCTGGTGGCGCGGCGGCTCTGCCTGGGCGTGTGGGCGCTCATCCTGCTGTTCGCCGTGCCGGCCGCCCGCGTGCACAGCCCGTCCGCCTGCCAGTACGAGAACAGCACCGTGAGCCTGTGCTTCGAGAGCTTCAGCGACGAGCTGTGGAAGGGCAGGCTGCTGCCGCTCCTGCTGCTGGCCGAGACGCTGGGCTTTCTGCTGCCCCTGGCGGCCGTCGTCTACTCGTCGGGCCGGGTCTTCTGGACGCTGGCGAGGCCCGACGCCACTCAGAGCCACCGGCGACAGAAGACCGTGCGCCTCCTCCTGGCCAACCTCATCATCTTCCTGCTGTGCTTCGTGCCCTACAACGCCACGCTGGCTGTTTACGGGTTGCTGCGGGCCGACCTGGTGGAGTCCAGCCTTCAGGCCCGCGATCAGGTGCGCGGCGTGCTGATGGTAATGGTGCTGCTGGCCGGCGCCAACTGCGTGCTGGATCCGCTGGTGTACTACTTCAGTGCCGAGGGTTTCCGCAACACCCTTCGCAACCTGGGCACCCCGCTCCAGACCAGGGCCATGGCTACCAATGGGGCAAGAGGGGTGCTTGCCGAACCACCCTCAGAAAGCACACAAAACCCTGGGCAGGACGCCACCAGTCAGGGTCTGCTCCAGCCTGCCAATCCGGGGACACCCACCATGCGGTCCCCCCAGGATTCAGCCCTCTGAAAGGACGCAGGGTCATGGTGTAGAGGTTTAGGGTGTACATTTGAGGGAGGTGGGCTGGGCACGTGGACTTTGAAGCAACTCCAGCTCTAGCATGCAGAAGGGAACAAGTGTGTAAGCAAGCGTATAGGAAAGGAAGAATGCTGCTGGTGATGGCGTCGGCCTCTGGTTATTACCCAGAGGACCCTGCTCCAGTCTGTAGGAAGCCACGCGGTGAGCATGCCCATGGCTAAGAGCTGGTACATGGAACAGAAGACGGTTGCCTGGATTTAGGTCATCAGTCTGAGAACTGAAGATTCCCCTGACCTTGGTGAATCAACTACTCAGAAGTTCATCTGTCATCTTCAAAAACAAAACAAAACTCAGGGCTGGTGGTGGAACCTAGAACCCACTGCCTGTGCAGGCCGGGCCAGTGCATTCCCCGTGAACTCCGTCCTCGCCTCATCTGCTGCCTTCCGAGCTGAAAGGGGGCCATGGACACTGAGATACCGGCCCTCACTTCCGCTTGGCTTCCCTGCTCAGGTGGGAGGAATAATACAAAGGCTTATTTGACTAAACTGACCTGTTTCGTGACTTGTGACAGTTTAGACTTGACACCCAGCGTGAGGGCAGAGCTTGTGGGTCGAGTCCCTCTCAAGTCCTAGTTCTTGGTCCCTTTTCTAGGTCATCCTTTCTCCTTCTACCACTCTCTCGCCTTTTCCATCCTCTGGCTTTAATATTCCGTCTCACTTCCCCCTTTCCCTCCTTCCCCCCACCTCTCCTTCCCACTCCCACTCCTTATATGGACTTGCTGACCTGAGCTTGGTATGTAGCAGAGGCTGGCCTTGAATTCTTTTTTTGTTTGTTTGTTATTGCTTTGTTTTTTTTTTTTTGTTTTTTTTTGTTTTTTTTTTTTTTCAAGACAAGGCCTTACTACGTAGCTCTTGCTGTCCTGGAACTCCCTATGTACACCAGACTGGCCTTGAAGTCACAGAGATCTGCTTGCCTCTGCCTCCTGAGTGCTGGGATGAAAGGCATATGCCACTAAGACCAGCTTTGGGCTTACACTGTGTTTTTGTTTGTTCGTTTGTTTTGTTTTGTTTTTCTCTGTGTAACAACCCTGATTGTCCTGGAACTCGCTTTGTAGACCAGGCTGGCCTCAAATTCAGAGGTCCACCAGCCTCTGCCTCCTGGATGCTGGATTAAAGACCTGCGCCACCATGCCCAGCCTTAAATTCTTGATCCTCCTGTTGCAGCTCTTCCTTAGTGCTGGGCTTACAAGAATGTGCACCATGCCCAGCTGCAATTGATATTTCATGGGGTTTTTTATTTTTTGAGAAAGGCTCTTTCTACATAGCCTCCAGACTCTGCTTCTCTCTCTCTCCTCACTTATTCTCCCCATACTTTCTCCTGGGCCTTCTTCCCCCCCTTTCTCTTCCTTCCTCCCTCTCCTCACCCCTCCTTCTCTCCTTCCCTTCTATCATTCTTCTTTCTCCTCCCTCTCCTCACCTCTCTTCTTCTCTCCTCTTTCTTTGACCTTTACCATTTTTGCCATCAAACATCAGTCCTCAAACTGTTTGGTGGTCTCAAATCCATTTGTGCAAAAATTGAGGAACCGGAAGAGCTTTTGTCTCTTCTTTTTCCTTGCGCTGTTCATCATGTTCTTAGTTAAGGCCAACGTGTTCTTGAAACATGGAAATATGGAAGCACACACTCCATTTAGTGATGATGGGAGTAATGCCGTCATCTTTCATGAAACTCCCGGAAGCTTCCCTATATAGCGGTGAGAGAATGAATGTGGAACGCACAAGGGGCATGTTAGCATTATGAATATAGTTTTGACCTCGAGGACTTCCTCAAAGAGCTGGTCTCTGGATCACACTTTGAGATTATTTGTTCCAAAATGTCAAAGTTCACATCCTCTAGGACATATGGCTCTAGGAAGAGGGCACTGTTCAGCAAATTGCTCTCTGGAGGACACAAATACCCAGGGCCAGGATGGAGCATTTCTAGGGAAGGAGAAGGGACAGTGTCAGCCAGGAAAGAAGGGTGTACAAGGAAGTAAGGGGGAGATGGGAGGACAGAAAGAGCCTGTTTTCTTAGTAAGCAGGGGGCTAGCGAAATAGTTTTATTTCCTCTACCCAAGTAGGGTTGGGTTGTTAGGAGGGGCTGCAGAGTTGGGGTGGTGATGGTTTTTAGTTCTTGACATTGATAATTACTGTCATGTCATATCGCACTATGCGCCCACGTCTCACAATGTAGAGAGATTTCCCAAGTGCTTCTGTGTTTCCATTAAGATTTGGGCCTTTTGTGTCTTTATGAGCCTCAGTTGGTGATTTACAGGGGTAAAATGACCCCTGGTGGCCAAAACAGGGAACTAACCTCGATTCGTCAGTAATAGGCTAGCATCTCAATCCAGGTCCACCGGAGTGAGTCAATGCCCACCTGACCCTTAACACCAGCTGCTCTAAAGACAGGCTGCTGTTAGCATCTGTCCCAAGCACCTCTCTTCCTCAGGACTCAAGATCTATGCTCTTCCTGACAGGAGAGGTTGAGTGGCAGAATCTCAGGATATTGTCCTACCCAAACAGAGCTAAACAGAATCTTCAAAATGTTTTTTTGGGGGGGTGGGGGGGTGGGGGGGTGAGGAGTGGAGGTTGGGGCCTGTGGAGTTTGGAAGAATCTCAGTTGATAGAGTGCTTGCCTTGCATTCACAAAGCCCTGGGTTTCACCCCAGCACCTGGCGTTGTATGATTGTAATTCCACACCCAAGAACTGGAGTCGTGGTGTCCTACGTCATTAATCCCTTAATCCCAGCACAGTGGTGGCAGAGATAGGCAGTTCTCTGTAGTTTTAGGCCAGCCTTGTCTACATAGAGAGTTCCAGACAGCCAGGGCTACACAGAGAGACCCTGTCTCAAAGAATGAAAGAATCAAAGTAGTAGAGGCAGGAAGATCAGAAGTTCTAAGTTATTCTCACTTACACATTGAGTTCTGGGATATGTAAGACTGTCTCCAAAAAGTTTCCAGCTGTGGTGGCCCGTGCCTCTAATCCAGTGTGCTAGGCCAGAGCGGTCTATGTAGCCAGGCCAGCCACGATACATAGTGAGACCCTCGTCTCAAAAAAGAAAAAAAAATTAAAAAAGTAACTTGAAGGGTCTGAGTCTGGTGTGCGTGTGTCTATAATCGCAGCTCTATAGCTTCTGAGGTTGGAGAACCATGCATTTGAGAGTAGCATCTGCAAGTCCTTAAGTGTAATCTCTACTACCACGAAACTAAATAAACAAATGCATTGAAAACAATGAGTATTTTATATACAGGCATCAAGTCAATTCCAGAGTAATTAAGGCAGCATGCCAGCATGTAACACCTAACAGACCATGTAACTTATTTATTCTAATTTTTGTATGTAAAATCTGTCTTCCTTCATCTCCCTAGGTAGAATGTAAGCTCCTGGGGGAGGGGGCAAGGATTTTTGTTTGTTTGTTTCATTGATGTATTTACTGGCATCCAGAATAGTGCCTGGCACAGGGGAAGTACTCAATAAAGACTCACTGAATGAACAGGCAGATCTTGTGAAGAACTTGACTATCTAGTGAGGACCACAGCAAATTGTATCTACTGTAAGACTAAGATAAAGGAAAGTAGAGGGAGGTCCTGCTGGCAGTCAACTTAAGGAAGCCCCTGAAAGTTGCCCGGTGAGGTTTGTCCAGACATACCTGTAGGCTAGAAGCGTAGGGAAATCAGGTAGGCAGAGTCCAAGAAGAGAAAGTGTTGTGCCCTAGGAACAGCTGTAGCAGGGAGAAGTGTGGTCAGGCCTGTGGAAGTAGATGGAAGCAGCTTGCCCCTAACTTGAAACCTATGACATCAGAGCCCAGAACTATTTCCACACATCTCACCGCGTGAGAACTGAAGCAAGACTAGATCAAAGAGGTATTGGAGGCAGAGGAACAGCACCTGGCAAGCAACAGTCTGTGGAGATTTGAGAAAGCCCGAATCTCCGCCATTTTCAAAAATGCCACACAGCAAGAAGAGGGCAGATGTGAGAAACCCAGAGCCCCCATCCACCCCATGCCCTCCCCCATTCTCACATGCTCTGGGCCCGCCCCGTTTTACACCAAGGAGCATTCCAAGGAGGAAGAAGAGAAAATCTTAGGTGAAAGTAAGAACATTAGTCAACTCAGGAGGTTGAGGCAGGACAGTTTTCAAGGCCAGCCTGGGCAACTGAGATATCTGTTTCAAGATAAACAGAGGGCCAAGGATAGTCTTTGAGTCCAATGTCCAGTACAGAAAAAAGAAAGCATTAAAGGGGTTAAAACAAAATATCCCTGCCCCTCTCCTACCATAAACTATTATTCTGACAGACACCTATAGTCCTAAACTACTCTGGGGCCTACCGCAGGAGGATTTAGAATTCAGTGCCAACCTGGAGAATAAAGAAAAGGTCCAAGCCAGACACACCTTTATGGTGACACACACTTTTAATCCCAGTACTCTGAGAGGCAGAGTCAGGCAAGACCAGCCTGGGCTACAGAACAAGTTCCAGGATAGTCAGGGCTACACAGAGGAATCTTGTCTCAAGGGGGGGAAAAAAAAAGAAAGAAACCTTCTCTCTCAATATATATACACATATATGCAAATAAACTTTCTGTACACCAGGATTTCAATACAATGCTCATAATGTGTCTAATCCCCACCACCACCTCTTTTTGAGGCAGGGTCTTTCTACTTCGTAGTCCCGGCTGTTCTGGCACTATGTGGTCAGGCTGGGGCTCAAACTCAGAGATTCTGCCTCTGCCTCTGCCTCTGCCTCTGCCTCTGGAGTGCTGGCACTAAAGGCCTGCGCCACTGCACCTAGTTTGTTTTCTAGAGACAGGCTGCTCCACTGTATCCCAGCCTGTCTTCGAACTCTCGATCCCACTGCCTCAGCTTCTGAAGTGTTAAGATCACATGTGCTCCACCATGCTTTCCTAAGGTGCCTCATTTTATTTAATTACTATCACCACCTCTGGGAATGATTAGCCCTCTGTCAAGGAGCAAACAATGGGTAATCTGAGGTCTAAAGGCCAACCAGCCAGGAAGTGGCTCCGTCCTCACTTCCAGCCTTAGGAAACTTGCTGCCCACTTTCGGCTGTCATGCAGCCCGTGCCATCCCCAGGTGCTGTTTCCTCTGGCCGCCTAAGGCCTTGCCAAGCCCATAAGACTCCTTACCTCTATTATATCTTGTTTAACAGTTGCCTCTGAGATTGAAACACTCCACCCTGCAGGGAGGCTCCTTAAACAGAAAGGTAAACAACACAAAATAATTTCAGGAAGTGCCTAAAACTGACCAGTTTTACTTGGCCTCTCCCTGTCAGGGTCAGCCATGAAAGTTCAGAGGGACTAAGGGAAGCCAAATTCTGAAGATGAGGCTCAACTGCCTGAAAGAAGTAGAAATCAATCAGCCGCGCTTCTTAGAAGAGGTTAGGCCAACTGGGCACCAGAAAGAACACTCTCCAGCCTGTTGAGCTATCTGCAAGCTCTCCAGTGTGTTTCAGGTTCCTAGTCTTTGTGAGCTGGGGTGGGCTTTGTTAATGCAGCTGTCTCTGGGTCATTTCTGCTCCTGTAAGTAACCCCAATAAAACTCATTGGTTTACCAAGATGGACTTCAGTGGTATCCGCACTTTGGTCTGTCGTGGGCTTCTCATCTGGGGCAAGGGTATGTGATACATCTCCACATCTATCCCTGGCTTCCTTATCCCCTCTTCCCTTCCTCACATGAGCCAACTAGCTCTTCTGTTGTCCCACCTGGAAGCTGCCTCACTATCTCTGCTCTTCCTTCTCCCCTACCCCCCACCATCCTAATCTACATATGGCTCTTCTGACCCCTCATTTTACCCTTGCCTTGGTCTCCTGTGCTGGACAGTGTGGCTGAGGCTGAAAATTGAAGTCCTGTTTCCAATTGCTTTGTTCCCCAAACACACCCCCGGGAGCTGTCAGCAGCACTGTCTGTGGCACACAGCACACACAGAATGACTTAGACTTCCTGCAGTTGGCCATGACCCTCTCCCTACTTATTCCTGTGACAGTTAGTACTCTCACGTCCACCAACATGGCAAGAGGGGATGGTCCCTTGGTTCTTAGGTTCTTCTAGCGGATCAGAGAAGAGTTGGGATGTCATAGAAGGATCGGTCGTGAGATGCAATTCAGGAGAATCGGGACAGAGGTGAGCATCCCAAATAAGGACAGAGGTGCTTCCTTTTCAGCCCTGTACTATCTCACAGAAAAGCCCTGCAGGGTTGCCAACTGGAGTTCCGAGGAAGACTAGGAAAGAAAAGGTAAGCCCCTCAGAGGCTTCACTTCTCTTTCAGCAGGCCCTAGATACCAGAGGCTGAAACAGTTGTCCCGTGCTGTCCTTCCAGAATTCTCACACGGGGTTTAGAGAAAACCAAGGTTTCCAGGACTTTGGAATCAAACAAACCTGGCTAGTAATTTTGTCTGTCACTTCTTAGCAATGTGACGTTGGCCAGTTAACCTCTGTGAGCCTCTGTTTCCGCCCCTGTGCAATGGGGCTCACTGTATCTACTTATTGGGTGATTGAGGGCCAATGAAATTTGAAAGGCACTTTAGAAATCCCATAAATAGGAGCTCCTTCCATCAAGGTCTTATGTAGGGCTTTGGGCTTGCTGGCAGTACTCTTCTGAAAGACAGCAAGGACTCCAGGTGAATCGTCCAGATGAGCCCGGCTATTGAGCAGAACTAGAGTCAGGGGAACTAGCAATAGGCAGGCTGGGCACGTTTCCATGGTGCTGGGTCAAGCAGGCAGCCTTGGGGCAGTGACTGGCCCATTGCCCTCTGGGGGCACTCTCTCCCCATGAGGCTGATGTCCAATCCCACGGACTAATATGGAGGTGGAGAAGTGCAGGAAAGGCAGACGAGGGAGACAGAATGAAGAACCAATGGTGGAGAAAGGGCCAGAGAGAAGGCTGGAGGGGAAGTAAGGGCCAGGCAGGCACAGGGTGGGGCTGGGAGAGGGGCAGCGCCAGCCCTGGAGGAAAAGCTCCGACCCAGGGAGGGAGGAGGGACAGGGAGGGAGACCAGCAGCGCTGACACAGCCTCGATGTGTGGAACGGGCTGGGGTTTGGCCCACAGGTCAGGCGTCTGGCAGTATTATGGGATGGAGAGGCCTTAGGAGACAGGGAGAGTATTATGGGCTGGAACAGCCTTAGGAGACTGGGGAATATTATGGGCTGGTGAGGCCCGGCTCCAACTGGAGGCGGGAGGAAGGGGTGCGGGGCGGGAAGGGGGGGTGGTGGTGGAAGGGAGTATTATGGGCTGGAGGCCTCCTGCGACCAGAGGCAAGAGTATTATGGGCTGGCAAGGCCTTCGGTGGCCAGAGGGGGGAGCAGCGGGGGATGGCACCGGCTGCATGTGACTGAGGGGGGGCAAGTTGGGGGTGATGAGTGGGGGTGGGGGAGCTTATTATGGGATAGCTCTTTGTACCTACTGCGGGGACTGCTTCTCCAGAAGATATTATGGGATGTCGTGTGTGGGAGGGGGAGGGGGGCTGGGGGGATTATTATGGGATGGTGGTGCAGAATTGGGAGGGCCTGAGGAACTCTTCTCCAACCCCCCCCCCCGAGTTCACCCCTTCCTCTCACCATTCTAAGGTCAGCCTCCCTCCAAGAGCTCAATGGGAACACCTGAAATCCATCTTCCTACATATTTCACCCACACACAACAGCCACTCCCCCCTCCATACTGGGCACCTCAGCCCATCCTAGGTATCTCCTCTGGCTAACAGCCACCCCAGGATTGTGGAGGGGAAATGTAAGTCCTGGATAATGGGGAGAAAGCCTCACAGCACGGTTGTAGCGGCCAGTGGTTCCCACCTGCATGTCACCTTTGACCCCCAAATTCTTAATGCCACTCTTTCCTCCCTCTGGTTCACAAAGTGGGGGCCCTTGCTTCTCCCCTCCCCCGCCCCTCCATTTCCTCTCCACCTCCCTCCACAGTCGGAACCAGTAAAACAGGCGGCCGGCTATTATGGGATGGCTGCTCCCAGCAGCTCTGCAGGGAGGGGGCGGTCACCGCGGAATGTCTCTTGTGGGTGGCTATTATGGGATGGCCGCCTCTCTTCTGGGAGGGGTGGGGGCTAGAGAGGAGAATTATTATGGGATGGACCCAGCACAGCTGGGTGGGGCTGTCCGGGTAGGTAAAGCACTAGGGAGGGCAGGAGGGGGGGGAGGAAGGAAGAGGGAGGGAAGGAGCTGGGGAGGGTGGGGTGAGCCCTGGAGCCAGACCTGAGGCCTGGCAGGAGTAACTGGCTGGAGAGGTTTCTTTGGTGACAGCTGTTGGAAGAGGCCCTAGGGGCAGGCGCCATCGAGCCAAAGCCTAGGACACCTGGGTCCTATTCAGATCTTGGGGGCTGCAGTTGCAGAGTTCAGGGTGTCGCGATAGTGCTGGAAGAGCTCCCTAGGTAGATGGCTCCAGCTCGGCCTTCCACCTGTGCCTCCTTTGGTTTGAAGACAGTATCTCCTGCAAGAAGTTGAACACCGAAAAAGTTGAGGCTGGGTGGGCTCCTGAGGGACAAATGTCACTCCCCAAGCCCTGCATGGATTGTTAGTCAGTCTTCATAAATCCTCTTTCTGTTAGTGCAGAATACTAGGCCCTTTGGATCTCTGAGCAGTTTCTCCATACACACAAAACTGAGGTGTTCGGAGAGCTGAAGACTCCAGGATAACCTTGTGTTATTCTAGGTTCTTGTATACCACGGAGTGGAAACAGAATTCTAGATAACTGGCTAGAGATCCTGCCCCCGGGGGGCACTAATTAGCAGATTATACCATCCTTAGTCTCGGTGGGCCAATCATGTTAGTGGCCTATTTATAATTGATCAGGGAGGGGAACGTGGGGCAGAGAAGGAAGTGCGAGGTTCGGAGCACGAGTACCACAAAAGCAGCACAAACAGACCCTATGCTTCCTTGGCACTCAAAAAACACAGGAAGTAGGGTGGAGATATGGCTCAGCAGTTAAGAAACTTCTCTTGCAGACCGCTCAGGTTCAGTTCCCAGCACCCACCTGATGGCTCACGACTACCCATAATTCCAGTTCCTGGGGCTGTGATGCCCTCTTCTGTTCTCATGTGCACATACATACATGCAGGCAAACACTTACAGACACAAAATTAAAACAGATCTAAAAAGAAAGATTAAATACAAGATAGGGATTTGAACCTTCTTGTGGCTCAAGAAGTGAGAAGTGGGAAGTGAGGGAGACAAAGGAATTAAGTGGATAGAATCTGCAGGGACAGAGTGGATGTGGCTGCTGGAGGACACCAATATTTTGAGTCATAGGTCAGAGGCCGTGACTGCTTGCTTGTAAGCCCTCCCTGGTTTATATTCACTCATCACTGTGATAATGTGGGGTACTTGGAAGAGGAAGGGTCTGGAATCGTCAGAGATATCTATTACACAGCAGAATATGAGGCCCAGAGACATGCTAGATTTGGGGAAATGGGGATGGAAGATCTAATAAGGAAGGAACGCAGCAAAACCGTTAAGAAAGAACCAGCTTTCCTGAGAGGAGGGATACTCAGATGACGATGATCCTAGACCAGAGGGTGGTCCAGAGAATTGAGGTAAAAAAGAGTTTTGGAAAGAGAGAACATGAACCTCAAGGATGAGAGTGGGAACTTTTGGCAAGAACTAAAGTCGGTTTGTTTGTTTTGATATAAAATCTCTCTGTCTCTCTGGCTGGCCTAGAATTTACTGTGTAGACCAGGCTGGCCTCAAAATCAAAGATTTACCTTGCTTCTATCTCTCAAGTGCTGGGGTTTAAAGGTGTCTCCTGCCTCGTGCCCTGTTAGACCTCAGACTCTAGTCTCAAGGTGAGAAAGTACTTAAATACTTTAACTATTTAAATATATATATAAGTATATGAGTATTTAAGTGTACAAGTATTTAAATATATAACCATAGAATGCTCATCGTTATCCACATAGGATTTGGTGGAAAGGCGCTCTTAGCATCACTGGGGATCTGTTTGGGATCATGGAGACTGTGGGTAAAGTCCTCCCTCTGTCTGTAGAACTCGATAATTCAGCCCTCTGAATTTCACAGTAGAGTGTTGTCTCTCAGGGCCCTTTCTTAGGGGGATGAGATGAGCAGGACTAGAAGAGATAGCCATCCTGTGAAGACGTTCTAGTTCATTTTCAACCTGTCCAGCTTCCACGAGGTCATTGGCCCTTCCTCAAATCGGCAGATTCAAGCAGAGGGAGGCGTCTGGGTTTAAGGGA